GACTAAACCTCTTGGGGTCACCAAGATGGCAGCTCCTGACAACTCTGCATTGTTGGCTGCTGGCTGCCCTCAGTGTTACCAGCTCCAGCTGCTGGCTACTTTTGGCCCTAATAACCGTTGGTGTGGCCACTGCTTAGTGTAGCAGTTCAGCAAGCTCTACTCAAGATAGAAATCACAGACAGGCAAAAATTGTCGCTCAAAAGAGGCTTTACTGGGACTTGTGCTAGAACATGAAGGGGAACAGTGCACAGATTGACCGGCTAAGGATGCGGGGGAAGATGCTTATATAAAAGAACAAGCGGGGTCACATATGCATAGTGTCAGACTTTCTGCTTAGCCCTGGGCAGGGGTGGGTTTCCTCATGGACGTGACTGGACCTCTTGTACTTCTGTGGGGCAGTCATCTGGGATGGACCCATGACATGCTTGCTGCAACCCAAGCAAATGTCTCCCTGAGCAGCTGTCTGATGTGGCTACTGCTGGGCAGCAGCGAGGCTTCTGGGACGCTGTAGATGAACAAAATAAAAAAGACCTCTTGTGGCACATCAGGCTCTTCTCTCTCACCTCACCAGGGGATGCTGCTAATTACTCTGCACCCACACAGGAAGTAGAAAGGGAAACCAGCCAACTTATTGGGCATGGTGGGAAGCTGCAGAGGGGCTATGGGATTTCTGTTTTTTGATTTCTTAGGACACTGTCTATCCAGCAGTAACCTTTTTCAAGCAGTTCGCCTTAAGTAGAGTGCTTGGTGCCACATTGTCACGATGACATCCTTGAAGCTTTGCTTGGTTTGGGCGTAAGGGTGCTGTGATCTTCCAGGAAATCGGGGCTGGCCACAAAGATTGACTTAGTGTTAAAGACACTGTATACAGTGGTACATGGGTACCCATGTGTATAGCAGTGCATCATAATAGCTAAATCTTGGAAATGGCCTGTACATCCATCAATAAACGAAAGGACAAAGAAATGTACTACTTAGCTTTAAAAAAGGATAAATTTGAGTCATTTGTAGGACAACAAATGCACTCTGAGACCAAAATGCTAAATAAAAGGAATCAGACAGAAGATTAAATAGTGCGTGGTTTCTCTTAAATAAGGAGTGCGACATGTAAATAATATGAAGAATAAAATAAAAACTAGATGCCAGGAAATAGGGAGGTAGACTTTGTGGTTATGGGGGGGGTGATCTGGGCATGGAGAAGATGGGAGAGTGGGGTGGCGGCGGAAGTAAAAATGATTAAGATGTGATATGTATTTGTACCAATTTCCCAAGAGAAATGTAGTGATTATGTATTGCTAACATAGATTCTGTCAAAAAAAATGTCTACATGCTTCAGGAAAATAAAAACTTGTGTCACTATTTTAATACTAAATTTATTGAGACATCATGAGATTAATACGTTACCTTTGGCTTCTGCAATGACAAGAGGTGCTGAAAGTGGTGCCCATCAACTTCCAGATTTTTATTAGATGGTGAACTGCTGCTCAGTCACTGAGACTGCTGCACATGAGTTTTCAATCTCTTTTCTAAGGGTCGGCAACGTGGGGTGTTTTCTGCAATATATAACATGCTCTAGGGCCCCTCATTCCAGGGTGACCCCATCTGTTGAAAAAACATCCTACTAGTTTTCTTTTCTTGAAGTGTGCATACATTTTTTGACACATTGTATATTAATAGAAAATGAAAAAAAACCCACCAAGAATGTACTTGTATTTTTCTTTCTGATAAAGATCCTCTAGCCCATATTTGGGTAGCCTATACACACCGACTCCTCCCCAGCTCATTATCAATAAGATCATGAAGATCAATAAGATAATGAAAGATCCTTACTTCCTTAACTCCACTTGTGCAGAGACATTTGGTACTAGATCCTAGGGAGTCTTCTTTTATTTCCAAACATGGCCCGAGTTGTCATTTCCATTCCAGAGAAATTTCAGTTTTTCTTTTCCCTTTTTTCCTTTCCTCTCCCCTTCCCACTTTCCCTTTAGCCATTTTCTTCCTATTTCACACTATCAACTATACCATTTGAACCTTTTTTACACTTTTGGTTTTTCACACCAGAGAAACTATTCAGTATTGACTCAAGTGTGTCCTATTTATTTCACTTAAAGAGTATAGCCTCAATGAAGCACAAATTCTTTATATGATAATATCATACATATATTTTAGGCTCAAAGCCTAGAGATTCTGAATCACTAGGCCCAGGTGAGTTATAGAGTCTGTCTTCTATCAGGTGCCACAGTAGTTCTGATGTCACACTGTTAGCTACTTTTCTCTCATTTCTGAGACAAAATACCTGACATCCAAAGTTTAAGGGGAAGGGGTTTATTTGGCCTACAGTTTGTAGAAGTTTCAGTCCATAGTTAGTTGGCCCTAAGACAGGCATCGCAAACAGACACCATAGAGGAGAAATGACATGATGTGTACAATAGCAAAGGCAACAAGAGGGCCTTAACAGTGCCTCCCTGCCCCTTTTATCTTACGCAGACTACTTAGGGCAGGTAGCATTCAAACCCTTAATCCTAGTGCCTTTGAGCCTAGCATTGTATTATAAATCAATTCCAGCTTCACACACATCAAATCTATGACTACATGATAGGCTTTGGGGGACATCTAGACCCAAACCATAACACACACTGAAGTCCAAGACTCTCCAGAAGAAGTCATAAAAATAGACTGTATCATCCTCCTGCCTCGTCATCTTATGTACTGGGATTACAGGGTGCACCACTGTGCCTATCTTATCCTGAGTTTTGCTAGTTGCTCATGCACTGTTCTCTTTTTGCCTCAGGGCCTTTGCACTGACTGATCCCACTATGAGGTACATGCACAAACTAAGTGTCTCCTGATGCCAAAGAATGGACTGGAAGCCAGTGGAGAAAGGAAGAAATTTTATTAGAGGAAAGCTCCTGAAAGTGAGTTGCCATGGGGTCTCTGTCTAGGGAAGTGGGGGTGAACCTATGGCATTTGTGCCATGGTAGGCTGTTTGTATCATTGAAATCCCTCAAAGGTTCGCCATCACTGTTCTCAGGGTTCGCGTACACAAAAATGACTACATGTTACACCTCTCTGAGCCAAGCTGAGTTCAAGCTATGGGGTTACCAGCAGGAAAGTTTGACTAGAAGTGTGATTACAGAAACCTAGGGCACATAGCAAACACCAGTAATTGTAACTTTTCTAACATAATCAGCACAAGCAGAACAAAGACATTTTCAGAGGGTATGAAGAGAGGCTTGGTATACCAGTTATCTATCACCTTGTTTTTTATCATTCCCAGGAAGGAGGATCCCACCAGTCTAACAGGGACCCTTGTTCATCAGACCGCCAGAGCCCTGGCCTTGGCCTTGATAGCTCCATCCTGAGTCCTAGCTTTTTGTTTGCCTTCAGTCTCAGGCTTCATCTTATCTTGTCCCTCACTGGGTCACCCTGATTCCCTCTTGATCCTGACTTTTCCCTGGCTGCCTGTCCTGCCTGCTGAACTCTCTCTGCCTAGAACAGTCCCCTCTCTTCATGGACCAGTGGCACCCTGGAAAGCCTTCTCACCTTCCCACATGGCCGTGCTCTTCCTCAACATCTTTTAGCACACACTGTGTTTTACCAGAACTGATCGTTTAAATTACTGTCCCAAGATGGAGGTCACTGGAGGCTAGGGACTGTTGCCAGGGCTGTGGGTGCATGATCAGTACTTGGTGCAGTAGGAATGGGGTTCACAGGGAGGCTTGGCTGTGAGGAGAATCCAGTGTGCCTATGCTAGCTGGGCACAGTGGCACCTGTAATCCCCACACTGTGGGCAGCTGAGGCAGGAGAACGGCGAGTCCAAGCCCAGCCTGGGGTCCCGGGATTTAGCTCAGTGGTGCCACTACCTGCCTCCCAAGCCCAGGCTGGGCAACTTAGTGATTCAGAGACCTGTTCTCAAAATAAAAAATAAAAGAGGACTGGGGAAGTAGCTCAGTGTGAAGGTCCTAGGTTCCAATCCCCCAGTAATTAAAAGAAAAATACAGGGCCAGGGATTTAGCTCCGTAGTTCCCCGGCCAGCCTCACAAATGCAAGGACCTGAGTCGATCCCCGGTACCAAAACAAAACAAAAATAAAAAACATGAATCACCCCAGGCCTGTTCCCTCACTCGCTGCCCTCAAATCCTGACACTGCCAGGGCTTCTGTTTTTTTCCTTGTCTCCATGACTTGCTTTTCTGTTCTCAACCCTTGCACAAAACTTGTGCTGAAATGTTTTCTTCAGGTTCTACTTACTTAAACGGGGCATTTGTACACTAAAGAACAAACAAAAACAAAAACCTTAGGTCTGTTTGGAAGCCAATTTCAAACAGCACCTCTTTTTTTAAAATTTGTTTTTGCTTTTTAAAGTAGGGTCTCTCTGTCCCAGGCTGGCCTCAAATTCTAAATCCTTCTGCCTCAGCCTCCTCCGTGCTGGGATTGCAAGGGTACATCACTGTGAGGGACTATTTTTTACATGCACCAATTCTTCAAGTGTGTGTGTGTGTGTGTGTGTGTGTGTGTGTGTGTGTGTGTGTGTGTGTGTTTGGAACTGGACATTGAATCCAGGCCTTCACACTGCGCTACAACCCTAGCTCTTTTTCATTTCATCTTAATTTTTTGAGACAGGATCTTGCTAAATCGTTAAATTGTCCCGGGCCGAACCCGTGATCCTTGCGATTCAGCCTCCCAGAGTATCTTCATGGTTTTCTCCAAGTGACTGGGACAGGGTCAGAGAAGGGGTGGCCAGTCCCGGATCCCTGGACGCCCAAGAACGATCTGTTGCGGAGGGTAGCCTTACACCTCTTCCGCCCCAGGGGCGCGGCGCGTGGCCGGAGTAGGCCAGCAGAGGGCGCCACCGGCCCGCTGGTCGAGGAAGACAGGCCCCCGCCCCAAGTGCTCCGTAGTGAGCTGGTCTGAGTCCGTAAATCACCGAGAGGTAAGGACCTCCCATTTTCCTAGAGAGAACAAGCGGGCGTTGGGACCCCGGTGCTGGAGAGGTTAGTGAAAAGGACGACCCGGAAGCGATAGTGGTGGGAACTTCCGTTCTTTGTTCTGTCCCCGGTGTGTGGGTCTGAGACAGGGTCCGACAGGGCCTGGTGCGTATCTGGTCCCCCATATCTCCCGTCTCTGACCCCAGGGTGAGTCGGGCCGTCCCCGGGGCTCGCGGTGAGCGGAGGCTGTGGTCGCCGGGGAAGGGGTGGTGTCCGTGCCGCTGCGGCCCGTGGGATCCCCAAGC